GGTCGTAGAAAGGTAATATAATCAACCTGACGGAAAAATCTGGGACACAAGAAAAATCCCTTATCCTCCTCCTCATCCATCCAAACCACAGTTTCCCGCGCCGCTACTCCAAGCCACCGATGGAGAATTTCTATGTGATTTGGGTTCTTCATGTAAAATCTCACCTCGAATCACCCTCCTAACTTCATTCAGAGAGCCATTCGGCAAATTTGGAATACTGATCTGAGATCAGTGCAGGTTTCATTGCCTGCCGCCAATCGACATGAGATCTTTCCCTTGTTAGTTCAGAAAATCACGAATAAACCGTTTAATAATTGCAAGTAATAACTATGCTTATGGCTCTTGGAGTGAGATATAACGGAGAGGACTCATTGCTCAAGACGAACTGAATACCAGGACAATATAGTATTTTTGTCAGGTTTATGTAGCAGTTGATCTGATTAAATGCCTCAAACTGGGGTAACATCACACGGTAACATCACATGCGGTAATAGACGTCAAGAAGTGATGAACGTCAAAGTAGGGCGTCGGTGCTAGAGTTTAATCTTATGCACCTCTTTGTCCTGCGCCGGGACTTGACGACTCTAACTTGACGTTGTCCGGCGCTTGTTGGTCCTTGACCACTAGGTTCACGTGGAGGATGGTCGAACGCCCCTAATAACTTCCTGACTACTGGACTGAAGTTGGGTGGCCTTGACAGGTTGGCATGTCTTGTTCTTAATAATAATGGTCTAGAAAGTTTTTAGCATATGCCAGGTAACTCGACCCGAATGGGCAAGGCGAGACTACGTGTCGATTGTCGATTGAATTCTCGACTTGGTCATTGGAAAATGCTGATGGGTGCCTTTTGTTGGTTTCTTCCTCTTCAGAGTGCCCAAACTCTTTTTGACCGTATACACGAAATGCTCTGCTTGCCCATGCCTCTGTCGGTGAGCAGGATGTGATCCAACATGATTGATCCTACGACGGCAGCAGGAATTCTAGGGATTTGCTGAAGTGAAATGGCTGCTTTGATTCATGGGTTCCTGAACTGTGAGAAGACTTTTGTCAAATTATTGATTGGGATTGTCATCGACTAGGGGATTAATTTACTCAGCTGTCCTCTGGATATGAAGAGTATGCGCCACGATGAAGACGTGGAATTTTCCGTAGAGAGGTCCTGCAGACTCAGCATGTACTAGAACTCACGGCGTGACTGGTTTCTACCAGAATTTGAGCTGGACTTCCACAGGATTCTCGTCAACTTGTGCGCAGTTTACGTGAACTCTAATGGGTCTATGTATCGGCCAGTGCATATAGCTGCGATTGGAAGCACAGATTGGAATTCGTTTCCGACTTCTAAAGATAGAGATGAGCGGATGAAATTTTCGTGGCGTGAAGTGACTCCCATGTGAAAAGCGACTGAAATTTTATGGTGCAAAAGCGATGGCTAGAGCCGTCCTCCTGGTCTATTTGCACTTCTTTTGTGCTGGCGAAAGAACATGATTAGCATGGTAGTTAGCTCTTGCGATTCCATCACAAGATTTTGGTGAGCACAAGTCTCTAAATCCGTAGTCGGAAGCACCAACACCAACAATAAGCATCAGAAGGAATCGTTGTGCCCGAGAAGGTCGGATTCGAGTACCTTTTTGATCCGATAGAGGCAGGATTGGTTTGTTGGTGAATATTACAAAATAGCACGTTCTTTGGTGAGCGCGATCAGAAGGAGCGCAAAGAATTTGCAATTAAAGGATTGAGGTGGGAAAGGGTCGACACGAAATGGCTCTGGGCTGGTTGATGCATGGGCACTGGCATTTTATGTACTGTTTCGGTCATGGCTGGGTTTAAACGTCGCTCATTTCTATCGATCAAGACAGTGATGTAAGGAATTGCGGTGTGCAATAGTGAGCACTTTCCAAGCGTAAGCAGAACTGGAGTTTTCGATTTCTTTCAAAAACTGCTTGTAGACGAGCTTTTGGCTCATTGATAGTTTTCCAAGTGATAATGGTGTAGCCGAGGTACATGTACCATCCAGTCCTACGATCATTGTGTCCATTTCCTGTTGAAAAATTGCGGAAGCGGTTTCCACTCTGAAGGATATTTGACTGAGCTACAGAGACCGCGAGCGTGAGTTTATTGTAAGCAGCTTACAGGATTTCTAATGCGCTCTCATCTAGAGGTAAAGTGCTGCTGAATTCAGTCGATTGAAGTACTCCCTTTCCTTGAGTCTGGCAAAGATATTGTTTGGAGTACGAAGTGAGCTACTCGAGGGCGTCGTACAGGCCCGTAGAGAAGTCTGTTTAAAGTCAGATCTAATGGTGATACCAGTGGAATCGCCTGGTTACGCCGGACTTTCCTCCTTCTCACGACAAAGTTGTGATAATTGGCCAAGCCTTCACTCCGTCTCGTAGCAAGTGTTCTTTTTTTCGAGCTTGAATTTCGACACAGGCACTACAACTTTTACACGGGACTCGAAGAGAGGGGGTCTGGAACAATCAGGGCAGTGCATCTGGTACTCGGTATATGCCGATTTTTGAGCAACGATTTGAGGTCTCACTTGGTTGCTCTTCTTCTCAAAAATGATCAACTAACAAAGATTGATTTCTTGGCAATCTTTGAAATGCATCGAATGATAATAACGCCCTTATCAGACGACGTTATCAATAAGCTTTCTCTTCTCGACGGCGGTTATCTCAATCATTGGTTGAGAATCAGATTGGTAATCGGATAAAATTTGCCGTAAATGATGGAGCAAGAAAAACCGAAACTCGTCATCGAGTCTTGCTATTTAGCGGTAACTGATAGCAATTCAAACATCAATTTTTCATCTCTTTACATTTAATTCCTATCGGTTCCTTTTATTGCATTGACCACTTCCCTATCGTTGCCCTTCTCAACCGACCCGTCCTGCTGGACGAAATGTTCTAAAGAGTCGAAGCTACATCGTGAATATAGAAAATAAATATCTAGATCGAATTTTTAAGTGACCATTGCTTTCTATGTCCCTTTCTCAGCATTAACAGTTCCGCTCATTTACGATTCCACTATACTCTGCATAACATGTGAAACTGTCGAGACTCCACCAATAATGCAAGTCTTCTATTGGCTCTTCCCATCTGAGATTAGTGATTAGCCCTTATCAGTTGTAAGCAGCGAACACCGACCGTCCACAAGTCGGTCACCATCGAAGTGCAAAGGTTCCATTGTTTACAGGACGTGCGTAGCATCTTACATTTTATAGCTCAACAAGTCGACTCGCCCGACTAACGCGGGGCTTTCCCTTTCATCGCAAAATCGTGGTGATCGACTAGCTCTCCGATCCTTTGAAACAAATAATATTTTCCGGTGTACGAACTTTGAAACAGGGTTAACAGAGCAGTGTAAATGGTATTCAGTGTAAGACGGTGCTTACGCCTTTTACTGGAAGTCTCGATCCTTTGCTCTTTTTTTCAGATGAATACCCAATAAAGATCAATTGTTAGGTAACAAAAGCCTTGGTTGGTACTCACAAATGTTTCGAGCGATGAAAACACAATGATCAAATGTCATCGTCATCGTCATCAATGGACCCTTCCCTTTACAGAGATAACAATAGTTCAGATCGGATATGATTAGTTAGATTCAATTCTAGATAATTGGCGGTCGGTTAAGTTTTGTCGCAAATGATATCGAACGAAAAGGATCCTTCATTGAATCACTGTATCGAGCTACAAACCTTGTTGTGGAGCGGTCGTAACCTGACAGCAAGAAATGAACAAAATTTTCATCTGCTTATCGTAGTGCCACCAATGGTTCCCTATCACTGTTTGTCCCTTTTGTCACCTTACTCTAACATCCCGTATTATTTGATGAAACATACTAGGCAGTCAAAGCCATATTGTAAATACCGTAGGGTTAGGATTTTGATTGGTGAGTGGCTCTTGCTTTCTTAAACTCCCTATGTTCTCTTATCTGTAACTATCGGATCCTGTCAGCGAGTACGTACGACCCCGTCATATCCTACATCACTTGTTGAAGTCTATAAAATTTTAACTCTTTAGGTACACGGAAACAGAGGTCACGAATTTAAGTCTAAACATTTACTCTGCGCATGCTCCGCCCAATGCAGGCGGAGTCTAGCTCTACTACCTGCCATAAGTGTTCCCATCCAGCCTAGCGTACTCCTACCAAATATCAACGCTCTAGCTCCACGTTAACAGGAGTTATGATTTGCGACCTAAAATTTCTATCGCGCACACCCCGTTCCCTGTAGGCGAGGTCCAGTTCTATCAACCATCATGAGCATTTTTCTCCTGTCGCCTGTACTCTTATTAAGTTTGAGTGCTATAGGTGCATCGGAACAGGGTTTATGAATTCCCGCTCGACCAATTATTTTGCGCACGCCCCGCCCCCCAAGGCGGAGTCCGGTCCTGCTATTCGCCATAGGTGTTCCCATGCTGTCTTCTGCTACCAAATTGGTAATCTCTAGGTCCATGGGAACAGGAGTTATGAATTTTTGGTCAAACACACACACTGACCTACAGCGAGCAACAGACACACTCTCATTCTGTCGCCTGTATACCTTCTGAATTGAACGCTCTAGGAAGAGTTATGAATTTCTAGTCGGATAAGGGCAGACACATACACAGCAGGGAACGTTTTTTACATCTAAGTGTTTAGCGATATTCCTCAGTAGTCAGTGTCTCGAGTTTTGTATGGAACAGCACGTGACACTTTCGGCAGACGGTGGAAGAACAGGCAAATTTGTGCGATCTAGCGGAGTCTCAGTAGCACATGCACAGTTCCTATCTCTCAGTGCCCATCGATGACAAACGTGCACTTTGTTGATCCCAAACCATGAATTCCTGGTTCTCCGCTTTTCCGCTTCACAGCAAAGGCAATTACCCGCATCACCTGTTCTTCCGTTGCGTCGATTTCCTCGAGCGGGCGCCAATAATGTCTCCATTGGTCCCTGGCTCGAGTCGGAGTGGTCCATATAATGGTACTCGCGTCAGGGACACGAGGTTCACCATTCCTTTCGCTCAGATCTTTCGTGAAGAAGCCTGACCATCTCGTTGGCGGCCATCCTGGAGTTCGTTCGATGTCCCGAGCGATCCAGTCAGTATCCGCCCTGGTCCAACGGTCATCACTATATCGCATAACGTGTCCGGCCCACCTGATCTTCGATTTCTTGGCGTAATCAACGGCATCCCTGATCTTCGTTCGGTGACGAAGCTCGGAACTCCGGATTCCCTTCTGCACTTGCGTGTATAGGGAAATTCCGAGCATCGTCCTTTCCAAAGCGCGTTGAGTAATGCTGGCAGCATGCTCATCCTGCTTAGGTAGAGTCCAAGTCTCCGAGGCGTAGTCAATGCAGGAAGGATAGCAGTGTCAAAAAGGTGAGCGCGGAGCCGGATCTTCTTCGTTTTCTTCACTACTCCCTNCAGTCAGTATCCGCCCTGGTCCAACGGTCATCACTATATCGCATAACGTGTCCGGCCCACCTGATCTTCGATTTCTTGGCGTAATCAACGGCATCCCTGATCTTCGTTCGGTGACGAAGCTCGGAACTCCGGATTCCCTTCTGCACTTGCGTGTATAGGGAAATTCCGAGCATCGTCCTTTCCAAAGCGCGTTGAGTAATGCTGGCAGCATGCTCATCCTGCTTAGGTAGAGTCCAAGTCTCCGAGGCGTAGTCAATGCAGGAAGGATAGCAGTGTCAAAAAGGTGAGCGCGGAGCCGGATCTTCTTCGTTTTCTTCACTACTCCCTCAATACTCTTAGATGTTCCCAACGCGGTGCGTTTCCTTCTGCACAGCTCCGGAGCTAGCTCGTTCATCATGTTGACTTCCCGACCTAGATACACACAGCTAGAGCAATCGGAGATGTCTGTTCCGTTTGGCATCATGGGAGCATCAGGTACCAATTCATTTTTCATGAACATCGTCTTCATTAAGTTCAGTCTCAAGCCAATTTTTCGACAAGCATTGTCAAACTCGGCCAGCACTCGTTCCGCCTGCTCGATGTTCGGTGTTATAAGCACGATGTAGTCTACAAAGGGGAGGTGATATAGGTAGCGACTTCACTCCCAAGTCTTCCCAATCCAAATGACGCATGATATTATCGAAAGCGGCACTGAAAAGTTTGGGCAAAATGATATCGCCCTGCCGAACACCTCTCTTCACGTTGATAATAACTTCCTTGTACAATAGAATGGTGGAATATTCGAAAAATCTTCAGCGACCCTATTCTTGTGGTTTAAAAGGGCGAATCCATCCCTATATCAAGGAGCATGCGCTAGCTGCTATATCAATCTTCATAGTCCTAAAGACGCATCAGATTGAAGCTATTCCTGTAGTGGTGAAAGCGGGATCACGATATGAGTCCTTTTTTTGCTTTCTCTGTAGCATTTACATGCTACTTCTGTAGAAATTTCTGCAGAACCCCCCTCTTCTGCCCGACAGGATTGCACGCATGACAGGGTTCTTCAATGAAGTTATCCTCCTCCGCCCAGTGTAGTCCTCTACAGCGGGAGCGCATCGGTCAGTAGATCAAAAGCAAATAGACTTACCTTGCTGTATATGATTCGATAACCTTGTCTATAGTCACACCGATGGTGATTGATAGGAAGTGATAACAAATGATAGGAGCTGATAAATCGCTCTCAGAGGCAAAAAACACCGTTATACGCTTCTTGTTAACGGCGAAACCTAATCACTTTGGTAGATAGCGCTGGATATGAAGCGACCGTAAATGATAAGTGGGAGGTATTGATAACAATTGACAAAGACTGATAGCAAGCCATAGAAGGCGATAGCCACTAGGTCTATAACACCTTCCTATTAACTTTGGAAGTTTCGCACTTTAGTAAGTGGTGTAGGATGTGACGGGGTCGTAGGTACTCTCTGACAGGAACTGAAACAACAGATAAGAGTTGATAAAGGGCCCCGAGAAGAGCCACTCATCAGCTCTCATCGACCGATGAAAGGCTCTTTTCAGGTTATTATCATGTGAGGAGAACGGGTAACGGAACTTCTCCCCGATCGTGGCATTCCCTCTTGCGGCATGCGGCAGATGTCACTGCAATTACCGGACTCACCCCGCCTCCCCGCCAGTCGATAGGACGCGATATTATTATTACATCCCCAATAAGGAGAGGTCTGTAAGCCAATCATAACAACGAGGGAAAAGCGTAGAGTAAAAGTGAGTAAAAGAAGAGAACAACAAGAGTGTGCTACAGTTATGGAAAAGCTATGTTTTAAACTGCATAATTAACCATTCCTCTATTCAATATAAGACTTGCTGGTTATCGTCGGTTACTGGGTGGTTTCGAGGAATCCAAAAGCTACGGTGAGTGGTTCTCCTTTAATCACCTGCGTGCTCTGGGGGTCTCGAACTTTAGTAGGGCAGTGGAGGCGTTTGGTCGAATAGTCACAAATTGTAATGATCCTTTCAGGCTCTGAAGAAGGCGACCCCGCTGAAACGTCAGCCTAATNAAGCTCATTTAAAAACCTCGTGAAGAGTTCTAGAAAACAATAAACACAGCTCTTTTTAGGGATTCTCATTAATCAAGTTCCAACGCTTTTAGTATTCATGATCTAGATTTGACTCCTCGATATGTTTCATTCGATAAGACGGGTAAGTATAAGGGTAGTAATACAATAATAGTAATAGTGTAGTAATAGGACCGGCCATAGGACTGTATTATAAGGAGATAAAAATTCAGTTCATTTCTTGCTATTAATTTACATCACTAGTTAGCAAGGTTTGTGAATCTTCATCAAGTTTTACGGTTCTCCTTCGTTTCCATATAACTTGCGATAAAACTTGTTGGACCGCCAACAATCTGGGATCTTCAACTGAAGCTATGTATCTCCGCAGAGAAAAGATCAATTGATAACGACATTGACATCGATATTATTATCACTCGATAACATTTGTAGAACTATTCAATGATCTGGTTGTCCAAGTGTGGTTAAATATTTAATGAAAGATTATTTCTGAGTATTTAATGGAAGATTATTTCTGAGATGAAGAGCAAGGGACCGGGTTTCTGATCATAGGCATAAGTACTGGCACATACAAGATGCTTTTTGCACTACTCTTGTGTCAAATTGGGTCTCAGAAAGTATCATTCGTCCCCAATAAGGAGTGGTCGGTAAGCCAATCATAACAACGAGGGAAAAGCGTAAAGTAAAAGTGAGTAAAAGAAGAGAACAACAAGAGTGTGCTACAGTTATGGAAAAGCTATGTTTTAAACTGCATAATTAACCATTTCTCTATTCAATATAAGACTTGCTGGTAAAGAGGTGAACTAATCTTCAGGTTTGCTCTTTATTTAAGCTTTTAGCTGGGAACAATAGTAAAACTTCCAAGCAGTGTTCTGACAAGGAAGGTCTTTCAGGGCGTGGGACGCTTTTTGAAAATGGTTTTTTGCGGTGTGATTTTTTTTGCGGATTTTTGAATTTTCCGGTGTCGGGGCATGAGCACTGAGTATATAACTATGGTCCATTTCCGCTAAATGACCTTCTGAATGCCAAAAAAGGAGTGAAAAAGAGTTTGCTAGGAATTGCCGTTTAAACCCACTAAGTGTCGTTTGTTTCAGTCATGGCGTCGACTGTCCGCACAATAGAAGGGGCCAGTGGAGGCGACATTGGAAATAACGGTAGCCAAAAATGGGACCCACACGTTGAAAGGTGCGGGGGAGTTTCATATAGGCTCTCCATGGTTGAGCTTCCGGCAGCGACGGATGGTTTGGCGGCTAGCGGTGTGGACTTCAAGGTCGGACGACTAGGATGGGTTGATGATTCGGATTTCCGAGGCTTTGACGTTTTTGCATTTTATG